GTGTAGATGGCTTTATCCAAGAAGTATAGTTACTGAATACTCTGTCTCTTGTATAGCTGGCTTTTAAACACAGTGCTTTTGAAATGGCTTTCTTATTACGTACTCACTAAATTCAGTATGTTCACTTTTTTTTCTTAAGGATTTATTTATTTATATACACAAGAACTGGGGTACAGTCCAGAGGTTTGGTGGGGGGTGGTTGAGAGGATTCACCAGAGATAGAGTGGGGAACAGAACAGAAATTGAGGAAGTACACTGCTGAGGGGAGCCAGTGGGTGAGAGAGGAGAGATCTGCTGTGCCACGTGGGTCACCTCCCCAGTGGGGGACATTGTGCTGCAGTGGCTTCTGATGGCTTCATAGTGCTTGTGCTTTAACCTGTTGTGCCACCAGGGAAGACCAGTATGTAGTCATTTTCCTTTTGGTTATCACTGGAATACAGCAAGTTTTTTAAGCTTGGGGCCTTTTTCTTAGGTGGGCCTTTTTCTTAGGTGGGCCTTGTAACATTTGTATGCTTGATTATTTTTGTAAAGTTCCAAAGTTAAAAGATATTTGTATTTTTGGGCCTTCCTGGTGGTGAAAGGGATTAAGTCTCAGTACTATCAAGCTACTATCAAGCCACTGCAGCATGAGTTTGACCCCTGCAAGAGACCTCTCCAGTGTCACCCAGTGCTCTCCTCTGCAGTGTGTATCTGCCTGTTCTGCTCCCCATACTGTCTCTGGTGAATCCTCTCACTGCCCCCACACCTCTGGCCTACACACCAGTTCTTATTTGTATCAATACATATATCTTAAAAAAAAAAAAAAAAGGATATTTACGTGCTTGTTTTCAAGTTTCAAACCCAACAAACCTGGATTTTCCACTTTCTGAAAAGTGATCTTCTCCTCATATAATATTCATCAGATTTACTTATAGCTTACAGAGGCAACAAAATGGACCATGGCTTCCTCCATTTCTGTCACTTGATTAAGTGAAGAGTTATTTCTACATTATAATTTACATTTTGGTTGACCCAAGAATTATATATTTCTCCGTACTCAGGTTTCAGGTCTAGTCCTTTGGTGCAGAAGCTCGATATTAAGTAGTTTGAGGTGATCAAGCACTGCTAACCTGCAAAAGTTTATTTACAAACCAAAATGTTTCTTAGTATTTAAGAAGGAATTAATGCCTTTATGTGGGCTTTCTAGGACATTCCCTAACCAGGATGAAGTGTTTTATAGAACGTTTAGTTTTCATGATTTAAAAAGAAAATGACAGGGTACTTAAGAGTTCCTCATTTCCGATCCGTCCCGTCAGTCAGTCGTCATCGGGTAAAGCAGAGCAGAGCATCCTTGATCCAGAACGTGTCTGTGCACCTAGGCTGGCGTCTGCGCTTTAGTGAACAAAACCTGAGCCCATCGCCAGGTGAAGGGGCGGGATGGTTGGCGATAAGCCAATTATAGCTCCTAACAACAGGGGCTGGCCAATCAGAATAAGGGAGGCTTGGCGCACTCGGGGGCGGACCCAGAGGAAGAGGACCCTCCCCCTTGCAGCTTGGTGGCCAACGCCTCTCTCCAGAGCTTGCGGGAGCCAAATAGATTCACCGATTCCAGGGACTGGGCACCTTTCGGTCCGGGAGGCGGTGCCCTCCCACCGCAGGTAATTTCTTTACAAGTCTTGGTCTTTAAGACTTGGTCTTAACAGGTGTTGTGCCTGCCGTGGACGCATTCTGACCTGGGCCTTGTCTCTCTCTGGAGACTTTGTGTCAATGGTTGGGGATAGAGTGAGGTCGTTGCCTTGACAACGACAGCATGCGGCCCTCGATGCTCCAGAGTGTGAGCTTGAGGTGGCCAAGGCCCATCTGCCTCCCTGCCAGCTTCACCTAGGACCCGTGACGGTCCACAGAAGAAATTGATCACAACAGCACTGGAATTGCTAGTCAGCATCTTTTAGACATGCGAGCGAAATGCATTTCACCTCAAATTTACTTACAAGTTGAAACCTTCTGGGTCTTTACACGCTAAAGGATTTTAAAGAAATAGTAAGTACAATACTTTAATAAAAAATTTCAATCATCTCGATCATTTATCTAGAATGATTTCAATCTGTCTTGAACATTTTTTAAATGTATAGTATTATTCTTTAAATTGTTAATAGTAAAGCCAGATGCTTATATGGCACATGTCCCGTAATACCTAGCATTGCCAGACTTCTTTTTAGTTGGTATTACCCTTACTTTCAGTTTATGAGTAACTGTTTCAGGAAACAAGGAGTTTTTAAGCTGTGATGCTCTTAAGGCCTTTGTAGGCAGTGCCACTCGAGAAAGCAGGAATGTTCAATGGGCTGTGACCCAGATGTGCAGAGAATAAGCTGGGAGTAATCATATGGTAGTTTATGATGTGCTTCAGAACATCTAAGATATGCCAAGGTAAGTTTTATTCACTTTGCATTAAAAATTTTGAGGCCACCAATTACAAAAGGGTTAAAATGATCCAGGTTATAGATTCCAGTCATTTTTTTTTGTCCTTGGCATGATTAATCTAAAGTCTAATCCTTAAAACATACTTTGTTAATGGAGGAAGGGGGGACTAAAGGAGGAGTAGATTTACAATGAGTAATTTTTTTTCATAAAAAATAGGTAATAGATGGAAGTGATAATGTCAAATGTATGGAGAAAGTGTGTCAGGAAAACTGCCCTATAAACAGTTTGTAGTAGAACCTACCCTCAAAACTGGCAGTAAATTAATGAAATAATGACAATTAGTCTTGACTGAGGTTTATTATGATTTCCCTCATGAAGATAATCTTTTTCCATACATATATTCATTAAATATCTATCTACATGTAGTAAAACCCTAAACTGCTATATATAGTAAAACCAAACTCTAAATTATTAGGTGTAAAGTGATAAAAATGAATTGTGTACATTGGACCCCATGGTTTGCCAGAGCCAAGAGGATATTTGTTGTGTTCTTGCCATTAATGTATGATTGATAATACGGAGGGGAATAATAAATCACATTTCCAAATTTGGGTAAATTAACTTTAGATTGCCATAGTATACAATAACATGAGACTGTTTTTCTTTCCAAGTTTTATGAATGTTTCTATATTGTCAGATTAAAAATAAAATTCAAGGTTGAATTACATGAGTATAGTTACCAAAAAGACAGTTGTTGTTTTTTTTTCCCCAAAATATTGAGGAGTATGTTGGGATTAAAACTTATTTATTAGTTCATGATTACTTTTAAAGTCTTTGTGGGCAGGTCCTCTTAAAGAAACAGGTATATTCAATGAGCTATGACCCAATTGCACAATTGGTTAGAAAAATAATTTGCAATTGGAATTTAATTTTAATATCATATTTAAGAAGTTTAACTTTGAAGTTGTAGTTTTTAACTTTCCTATTTTATGGCAATCAAACATTATGAATTAACATCAACATGTATTTTTTTTTTAAAGATTTATTTATTTATGCATACAGAACTGGGGTACAGGCCAGAGATGTGGAGGGTGAGAGGCTTCACCAGAGACAGAGTGGGGAGCAGAACAGGCAGATCAATGAAGTACACTGCTGAGGGGAGCAGCGGGCGGGTCAGGAGAGGTCTGCCGCGCCATGTGGTCACCTCCGGGGCAGGCGGGAGTCGAACTCATGCGGAAGCCGTCTTAGATTCTCAGTGCTGTGCTTTAACCCGCTGTGCCACCAGGGAGGGCCTCAACATGTATTTTGATTGAAATTTTTTTTCTATTCCAAAATATGCAATGAATAATTGCTGGATTGTTATCAACCATTACTAAAATAAGAATGATTTTATTAGAATTGTCCTTACCTTGAAAATATCATCTAATGGTAATGGGATGTAAATGATTTCTAAATTCAAAATTCAAATGATCATTTTTATAATGAGTCATTACAAGTATTTTTGAAGCACTGTATTTGGTTGTACTGGTATTTAATTTAGAAAATAGTTTATAAACTGTGATGCCATTGCTGTCATTCTGTAAGTTCAATAGAGGAATTTAATACTATAGGAAAAAAGTTAAGAAAATCATTTATCATAAGTTCTTAGGGTTACTTGGTAAGTGATCACTTATGAGCAAAATTTTTTCCCAATTGAATAGAAAATGCTTAAAGATTTTCAGCTTTGATTTTTAAATATATATAAAAAAATTAACCTTCACTGAAACCAAATTCCTTGAGTGAAAAGGAATTGTGTCTTTCTAAAGTAAGCCATAGTTGTTTTGATTGATAGTCCAATTACCTGAGTTAAAAATATGTTGCATTCCGTTAACATGCCATTTAGTAATTCAAATTTAAAGTTACTAAAACTTCAGTTTGCCTTGTTTATCATGAAATTTGTGCAAATATCTTGAAAACACAGCTTAGATGTGAAAACAAGTAGAAATTGTGAACAAGCACAGGAGAGATAAAATACAGAGATTGCTCAAATGTGGAAAACAAGTGGAAGTTAATTTGGGGGGAGAAGTGTGGAGGAAATTAACATACTAGGCATTATTAACTAAAATTAATTATGGTTTCCACAGCAAGAAAAATTCCTACTGGTCTTAAATTAAAATGGAAAAGTATGAGAACCTAGGATTGGTTGGAGAAGGAAGCTATGGAATGGTGATGAAATGTAGGAATAAAGACAGTGGAAGAATTGTGGCCATCAAGAAGTTTTTAGAAAGCGATGATGACAAAATGGTTAAAAAAATTGCTATGCGAGAAATCAGGTTACTAAAGGTGAGTAAAGGCATATATGTATGCTTCAATCAAATATCGAAAAGATTTCATTATTCAAAAAATACTGTGGTTTTATATTTGTTTAATTTTCATGACAAGTATAAATTTTGTGAGGGAAATAAAAATTGACTATATATACAAATTTACTTATCTCATGAATACAAACAAGAGTTTTAAAGTGTTTATTACTTTTCTTTGTATCTATTTGCTTGCCTTTCTATAATCTGTGTCTGGAGTTCTAAAGACCGTCCCCACTTTTCATGATTTGCTGAGCAATCAACGCTCAACCTATGAAAGTTTATACAATAAAATCAGTAAAGGGAAAAGACACATGGTGTGAATTCCAAGGGAAACCTGGTACAGTTTTCCAAGAATCCTCTTCCAATAGAGTCACATAGGATACAATTATTACTTCCAGCAACAAGTTTTGACAATTCACGTAATATTGTGTACCAATGAAATTCATTAGACACTCAGTATCCAAGGTTTTTACTGGAAGCTGGTCATATAAGCACCCTCTGCCTGGCTTGTCCTGAATCTAGACTCCAAAAAGGATTGTAGGTAGTGAGCAGAAAAGTAATATTTGCAAAGTGAGTCATTCTGTCAGTTCTGGAAATGAAGAGCAGCTCCTGAAATCCACATTCCCAGGTGCCTATGTAAGGATAGCAGTCTTAGGCCTGCAGGGTTGACATTCTTGACTCTTCATTCACTTTAAGAAATATTAGTTTTCCTTACTCTAAGTGGATGGACTTATTTTGCAATTCTCTTTTCTAATCTGTTGAGATAGATAAATCTTTAATTTTCAGGCCCCCTTCTACCACATTACATAATTTCTTTTATTAATTATGGAAAATTCTTGCTTGTTACCTTTCAAATTTTATTTAAATTCATTCTCTTTTCCCTCTATTTGTTGGATTCCATAACAGGTATTAAATCTTCTCACTAAATTCTTCTCTTACATTTTTCTTGCCATCATTCTCTCTGTATGCTGTTTGGTTTCTTCTGACCAACCATGTAGTTCATTAATTTTCTTCTTGATATGTCACTAAAGTTGATAGGTAATTACATTCAGTACAATCAAAATATTTTATTTTTGCTCTCTTTCATTTTCTCTATTAAAAGGTCATTTGTCACAAAAACACTGATTCAAAAGGACACCTGAACCCCCATGTTTATTGCTGTTTTATTTACAATAGGAAAGACATAGAATCAAGCCAAATGCTGAAAAGTAGATGACTGGATTAAAATGATGTAGTACATATATGCAATGGAATATTACTCAGCAATCAAAAAAGATGAACACATGCCTTTTGCAGCAACATGGATGGAGCTGGGAAAGATCATGCTTAGTGAAATAAGCCAGAAAGAAAAGGAAAAATACCAGATGGTATTCTCTCATAGCAGGATATAATGGAACATGCGAGAAAATAATGATAATGGTGAACAGCTATATAACAGAGACATTTTACGGAGGTGCAGTGGGGAATGGGATCAAAAATGGGGGAGAAGTGCACTGGACTATGGTGATAGCACACGGGTGAATTGGTGTTCAGAAGCCCACTGGGGTTACAACTGAGATGGAAAAAAGCAGAAAATGATGTAAAAAAAAAACTATTATTTAAAATAATAATAAAAAAGGTCATTTGTCAGACATTCCATAGTATGTTTATTTTTCTTCTGGATACTTTTTAAGATTTTTTTCCTTTAAACTTGTTTTTCAGCAGTTTTATAATAATGTGCCAATTGAATTTTTCTTGCTTTGATTATATGGCTCTTGTGCCTGTAAAATAATGTCATTTTTTAATTGTGGAAAATACTGAGCAATTATTGTTCTATGTTGCCACCATTCCATTCTCTTTATCATTTAAGAATTCAGTTTCATATATTAGATTTTTTCCACCTGTCTTCTGTATACTTTTCTGTGTTTTTTATCCTTTTGTTTTTTCCTTCACTCATTCTAGATATTTTCTTCTGACCCACCCTCCAACTCAGTAATCGTGTTTAAGCTTTATCTGATTTTCTATTAAAAATTCAACCACTGCTTTATTAATCAGTGATGTATTTTTCAAAGTTCATATTTCCATATTTTTTTCATGTAGTTTCCAGTGTATTGCCAAATCTTTTCTGATTTCTTGAATACTTAAAGTACAGACTTTTCTTTTACTGATTAAACTTTTTTTCTTGCATTGTTGTTCATTTTGTACCATATTTGATTTCTTTCTTCAAGTGTAGTCTCCATAAATCTCCCTTGAGATTTATGTGTGAACCATCACCATAGTCCCTTGTGTTCTCCCTCCCCTGTTCTGGCCCCTTAGGGAGGCTCCTCATAATAATATATCCTTTTGATCCATTCATCTAATTGTAGGCTGTTCTAAAGTCTGTATCCAGCAACTATTATCATGATCTTCCATGTATTTATTTCTGCTTTCTAGGATTTTGTTTCTCTTCATTTTCTTCTTGATATGCCTGAATTGAATTTTATAAAAATCACATGTATAGTTTGAGTCCATGGATATTTATATTCCCTCTAAAAGGAGTTTTGAAGTTTTGTATGTTTCTGGTGAGGCTCTCTCTCTCTTTTTTTTTTTTAAGGATATATTTTATTTATGCATTGAAGAACTGGGGGATAGGCCAGAGATGCCAGGGTCAGAAGATTCACCAGAGACAATATGGGGAGCAGAACAGGTGGATCTACTGAAGTACACTGCTGAGGGGGGAGCACCAGAGGAGAGATGTGCTGGGCAATATGTGGGTTAACTCCCTGGCCTCAACTGAACTGAAGCCACTATCACACAGCCATAGCGCTGAGACTAAACACCTCACCACCAGGGAAATTCCTTTCTGTGAGGCTCTTGAGGAGACTCTTATACTTCAGGAAACCTGGTTACAGTGACAATTTTATATCACAGTAATCCAATTTGAGGGATTTATTTAATGCAAATTTAAACTGCAGTCCCTGAGAGAATCTACTTGTCATGATACTCCTTATTCTCTCTGTCGTCTCTCCAAGTAGTGGCTTTGTATATTTTGCCTAGACTTTCCTGCTTGTACTAAGTGTGAAAGTTGTCATAGTGTACCTATTTTATTGTTGTGACTAGGCAAGGAAAAAAGGGAAATTATCACTTTTTTTTTTAGGGATTTATTTATTTATGCACACAAGAAATAGGGTACAGGCCAGGGTGCAGAGGGTGGGGCAGGGTGAGAGGATTCTTCAGACAGAGTGGGGAACAGAACATGCTAATTGACTGAAGTGCACTGCTGAGTGGAACCACAGGCATGACAGGAGAGGTTTGCCGTGCCATGTGGGTCACCTCCCTGTCCAGGGGATCAAATTTGTACTGCAGTGGCTGTGGAGAGCTTCCTAGTGCTGCACTTTAGCCCCTTGCACCACTGGGGAGACTCCCAAAAGAGAAATTCTTAAATTTTCTGTTCTAGACTTTTTACTTTGGTCCAAATATGCTGTATTACTTTTTATGGTTTGGAATTCTTTCAGTTTTGATGTGTTCGGGTTTTGTTTTTTTTTTTTAAGAAAAAAAATGGTAGTTTTTTATAGTAGCATAAAAATTACAGTAGTTTATATTTGCTAATTCCAATACTGATCTCATTTTGCATCTGTTTTAGTGCCTTTATTTTCTGTTGTTTTTTTTTTTTTCTTGTGGGGCCTCATTTCTTTGCATGCCTGGTTAGTTATCTTTGATTTTTGTTGGACATTATTGTTGAAACATTTCTCTGTCACTTTTGCCATCTAGTTTGAGCATAGGCTTTGTTGGTAGAAGACACAGAGGGATACTGTAGATCCTTGGTGTGAGAAGAAGCTTCCCTCTGGTTCTGCTTTGGGGTAAGGTAGGTAGAGACAGAGGTTAGTAGATCACTATAGGAGAGATCTGGTAGTCCACATAGGACCTTTCATGGACCAGCTCAGGCCTCCCTCAGTTTCGGCAAGTTTCTATTCCCCATGATAATCACTCTACAAACCTGTAGCTCCTGTGCTCTGGCAAGTTTCTTCACCACTGGCAGTCTGTACATGGGTGTGGCAGCCACACCCTCTCCAATGAAGTACTAATCTCAGCCTTGATGGTCGTTTGGAGGGCCTTTTACATTTTTAAGTCATTCCTATGCTCTGTCCCTTAGGCCTAAAGGTAGTAGCTACTCTGTATTTACTATTTTTTTTTAAGATTTATTTTCGCATACAAGAACTGGGGTGTAGGCCAGAGGTACAGTGGTGAGAGGATTCACCAAAGACAGAGTGGGGAGCCGAACAGGCAGGTTGTCTGAAACACACTGCTGAGGGGAGACAGGCGAGGTCTGCTATGCCAAGTTAGCAAATGCTCTGAGTATAATACCTAGAATATAGTAAATTCTATGTATTGGTTACTATGATTTATAATCTTATGCTATTTATTACTCCTTTAAAATCTTCTTCTTTATAGTCTCTGATTTTTTTTTCAGATTGGTTGTTTAGTAATTTGGAAAAAATTTATTTTGTACTTTTCATTACCTTTTATCGATATACTGAATCCTTTACAATGCAATCACCATACCTCTATTTCCCTCTCTTATTGACCATTTGATTTTAAAAGCTATCTAACTAATTTAGTGGTTACCATTAAATCTATAAATATAACTAGACCTTATAATTAAAACTTGAGATAAAAAATACAACTTTTATCCATTGACAAGGAAATCTGCATATATACACTATTATTTTGCTTACATCTTCTTTTTGTCCTATGCTCATTAGTACTATTATCTGTATATATTTGGGCTTTCAATATTCACCTTTTTTGTGACCAGGTTACCCACATTTATACGACTTAGTCTTGCACTAATGATTCACTGCTTATGTTCAACATTTCTTCTCTGTGTCTTTTAGTTAAATGACAGCTTTGTTGGGGATAGGTCAAGTTCCTGAATTTTGTTTTCTTTCCTTCAGAATTTTGAAGGCTGTATTCTAGTGGTTACTTTTCCTTTACTTTTCTAATGAGGTTTTATCTGTCATACCTATTTTCTTCTTTCCTATTACAGTGTCTTTCAGTAGAACCTAGATTGATTGCTCTTTGAGTGCTTCTTATTTTCTACACAAAGTCATCCAGCTTTCTCTTGATCAGTTATTGGTAGGAGATTCATTGGGGGACAGATATCGACCTTATTCTTGGCTAACAGAAATTCACCATGGCTCCCAGTAATGTTGCTTAAATACTAGCCAGCGTGTGGGATTGAGTTTTATTAACTTTAATTTCCCTGAAATTTATAGTTGCATGTTTGTTCGTCATGAATTGTTTTGCCTTCCATTCTGCCTCACAGCTTGCTTCCCGCAAATGTATTTTCATGTGATTTATTCCCTGCTGTTTTCTGGTGCCATTCAGTTCTAGGAATGCTTTCACTGATAACTCATGAATCTTGTTCCCAGTATTATATCAAAGAGTCATAGACCTCACTTGCTTTTATCAAAGATGGAACAACATTTCTTTTTCCATTGACTTTGTGTTCTCTGAAAAGGGAATGGAGCAATATGGTCTTTTGGCTATAATTTAAAAACCAGAATATATTTTCACAATATGTACATACTATATATTTTTATTTATGTTGCTCTCACTAAGAACTACTTTCGGATGTGACTAATTACTAGTAAATTTAATCTTAATAATACTTTTTTTTTATGTGTGTGTGTTTTCTTTAATAACAGCAACTAAGACATGAAAATCTGGTCAATTTGTTGGAAGTATGTAAGAAAAAAAAACGATGGTACCTAGTCTTTGAATTTGTTGATCATACAATTCTTGATGACTTGGAACTCTTTCCAAATGGACTAGATTACCAACTAGTTCAAAAGTACTTGTTTCAGATTATTAATGGAATTGGATTTTGTCACAGTCACAATGTAAGTATTTAGTTTTAATTTAATTAATTACTTGATATTTTTTTTACCTATTTCCTTTTAAGTTATATATATATATATATATATATATATATTCCTGAAAAACATTGGTTTATTGCACTGTATGGTTTGGGGATGTGGGTGCGCACCTCTTCAGATATATGTTATCATACCACACCTACCACTAAAACCACTATTTCATTTTTTTTAAAGATTTTATTTATATTTATTTATGCATACAGAATTGGGGTACAGGCCAGAGGTGCAGGGGTGGAGAGAGGATTCACCAGAGACAGTGGGGTACAGAACAGACCGACTGAGGAAGTACACTGCTGAGGGGAGCAGTGGGCGGGTCAGGAGAGGTCTGCCCACCATGTGGATCACCTCCGGGGTGGGCAGGAATCGAACTCGTGCTGAAGTGGCTTTAGCTTCTTTGTGCTGTGATTTAACCTGCTGTGCCACCAGGTAGGGTATGTTTTTAAATCACTGCTTCATCTTTTAAAATCACTGTCTAGTATTCCATTGAGTATGTATTCCACAATTTCTTTTTCCATTCATCTATTGTAGGGCACTTAGGCTTTTCCCATCACTTGGTATTTGTGAATAAATCTTTATTTGTACATAAATCTTTATGTATTAGAGTTTTTACTTTTTAAAAAATATTTATGCATATAGAACTAGGGTATAGGCCAGCGGTGCAGGGGCAGTGAGAGGATCTGCCAGAGACTGAGTGGGGAGCAGAACAGGTCGGTTGAGTGAAATTTATTACTTTCAATTTCTGCACTTGTTTTTGGACTATTTAAGTTGTCTTTTCATCCCAATTCAGTGTTGGAAGATTGCATGAAATGATGCAGACTCATAAATTGATTTTAATAAAACTAATAGTAAGGGAGTTTTATTGGTGGCACAGGGGTTAAGTCTCAGTGCTGAGTTCGACCCCAGGCAGAGAGCTAACCCACATATGATGCAGCAGACCTCTCCTGTCTTACCCTGCTGCCCTTAGCAGTGTATTTCAGTAGATCTGCCTGTCCTGCTCCCCACTCTACCTGTGGTAACTCCTCTCACCCCCTGTACCTCTGGCTGACACCTCAGTTCTTGTATGTATAAGTAAATAAAAATAAATCTTTAAAAATAAATCAATTTAGAATTAAAACAAACAAACAAAAAACCCCTAAATACTGAGACCATATCTCTTTCTTAGGACTGAGTCATAATTTTCATGCTCAGGAGACTAATTGTTTAGTCAGTTAGTTCCAGAGATAAAATACATGAAGTATAATTATAATGTTGGTTAGACAGGAATCAAACCATTACGGTGTTAGTGAATCAAGTGGAATCAATCTGTGAAGACTAATTCGTCTTCCTCATAAGAAGGATGATAGCTTTCCAATGGGCCTTTGATATTTGAAGTTAGATGAGTCAGCTCCCTGCATTCATCTCCACACTAAGGATAGGCTTGCCAGTGGAACTTGTATACAAAAAACCTTGGCACTCCCTTTTGAATTATTTGGATCAGTTCTGCCTACACTGCCTTCTGTGTTTCTGTTTTTTATACGTTCATGACTAATCAATTCATATTTAATAACACATTTCATGTCATACTAACAATTCGGCAATTTAGTAATTAAGTCTTACTGGCATGAGTGCTATTCTCTCTGTAAAGCAGAAGGTGTTAATATCCAGTAGTTTCATGGATTAACTTCACAGGGCTCATGTATCACTTTAAACTGTGTAAAATGTAGTGTTTATGGGGCGAGACCTGATTTTACTCTAATTTATGACCACTTACCTCCAGCAAGCTCTAGTCTAGCTCAGTGTACTTTTTTATTGTCCATTTACTCAAACTCTTCTAGATCATGATTTCATACCCTTAGTCCTTAAACCTACAATATCTTTTTCCCAAAAGCTCACTTTTAACCCTCTATTAAACAGAGATAATAATAAAACTTATCTCATAGGGTTATTATAAGGATAAAATTAAGACTTAGAAAAAACATAGGATGCAAACATGCATCACATATACAAATGCATACATAATAAATGTCTCACTTTAAGAAATTTAAGTTATTTAGTTTTAAATGCATTATTCAAGTAATTGAATACTAGAATTAAAAATAGAATTTTTAAAGGAAAAAAGCTAACTAAGCCATTCCTGGATCGTAGACATACAGAACTTTGAATAATAAATGGATACTGTTTTAAGGTGCAAGATTTGTTGTAATTGTGTGTTTTTTTTTTATTACAAAGTTTATTTTTACATCATTTTGCACATTTTTTTTTTCCATCTCGACTGTAATCCCCGCGGGTTTCCCATCACCAAATCACCCCTGTGCCACCACCATAGTCCCGTGTAATTGTGTTTTTTTCGAAATTAGTATTTTAATCCTTTCATGAGCTGAGTCAAGAAAATATGTTTAAAAGCAAATTACATTTACTATCAATTAATTTGACCAATTAATACAGGGTATTATGAGGTATTTGTAGACACTTAAGTAACTTTTTTACTGAAATTATTAGGTATGATCGTTTACTTAGGATGTGACATTATGGAAGACATATCAGAAACTATTGTTTTCACAAAATTTTCCTTGATCACTCAAATCTGCAATGACTTTGTTTTTCTTAGGTTCTTTTGTTGTTATCAAGTTCATAGAGCTTTATAGTAGGGAAGGACTATGGCATTTGAAGGAATGAGGAGATAGACCCAGAAAGGTCAAGCTGGCTATGACTGTGCTGAAAGCCTGAGACTAGAACCCTGGTGTCCTAATTCCCATTTCACCTTTTTATGCTCCAGAATAGAGGCTGTGGTGTAGGCCCTGAGTTCTCAGCATGGATGTCTAGGGTGTGATAGAAGCCAATGCGGAATGCTTGGCCATGGCAGATTGTCAGTTAGAAAGCTGTCATTGAAGTAATTCAAAGCATATTTTTAATTTGCAAAATCCATTTTTCTTGTAATAGTTAATTAGGCCTAATAATTTGTTTTGCCTATAGAATTTTTAGAGTTGCCTCTGTTTCAATGACCTGTTTTCTCCTTCCGCAGTGTCTTCTTCAGAAAATGTAACCACTGACCTTGTTTTATTTTAATTGCTTGGTGAATGCCTGCACTTGGGTGCTCAACAGTTTGCCTAAAAACTCACATGGCTTGAACGGAACTATAATTATTCTATCAAAAAATTTTGTAGACCTTTCTCTAAAAGAACTACCATTGTTTTAGATTCACAACTTCAAATAAAATACTTGAAATTATTTCATAAATTCTGTTGATTTTTCATTCATGGTAAACTGCATGTCTTCCATTCTAGTCATTTGAGTACTTTTGCATTGAGTACCTTCCTTTCTTTTCATGAGTACTAGTATATGCCTTTATCACCTCATAGTTATCCCACTGCCCCCTCCCTCAATCTTGTCTCTGTCTGATTTAATTTGTTTATGGCCAACATCTCTATAATCTAGGCCCATGATCTTGATACAAACTCAGCCTTCCCAGGCTGGCAGTTGAGGCACCCCTCTTTCCTAGTATATAACCTCTACTCTAGAGAAAACATTTTTCCAGAATTTCCTGATCTTTTCTCATCTTTGCTCTTTTTTTCTTAATATGTCTGAAAGGGAAAGCTTATTAGAAAAAAATAAAGGAGAAGATACTTGCTAGACATAAGTGGGAAAAGGTCAGCTTGTAGGCACAGGTGGGCTGTCTTGGGACAAGTGCTGCCATCTTTGTTCTTTTGTTCTTCTCGACACATCCACTTAAATTGCCCTTCCCTTTCTGTCTACATTTCTTTGCATCATACTTTGCTTTAAGGACTTTACTTGTAGAATCCACCCATTTCATAAAAATGTCCTTCACTACTTTTTGTCTTCAACAAAAGCCTTACTCTCTTGGTCTTAAGAGCAGTCATTAACAAAATAATCAATTTGGTGTTTAATATATATTCCATCTAGTTCTTTAATTGCTTAAAGAACTGACACTGTTTAATTGTTTTAAAAAATTGAAGCAAAAGTGTTGTCTTCACCAACTAGATCCTAATTTCTTTAAAGCAAGGAACAATTTTATATTTTCTTATTTGTATTCATTATAGAGACCAAAACAATGCTCTGAAAAGGGCAGGTACTCAAAAAAGAATTAACTTACTTAAACTGATGTGTCAATGTATGTCATACTCTGCTCTTTGTCTTAGATCATCCACAGAGACATAAAACCAGAAAATATACTAGTCTCCCAGTCTGGCATTGTTAAACTATGTGATTTTGGATTTGCACGGACCCTGGCAGCTCCTGGGGAGGTTTATACAGATTATGTGGCTACCCGATGGTACAGAGCTCCAGAGCTACTGGTTGGTGACGTCAAGTATGGCAAGTAAGACATCAGTGAGGGGGGGGGGGGGGAAAGGGGTTAAAATCCGGCTGTTTTTTTTTTTTATAACATGGAACATATTTCTAATATAATAAAAGATCCCCCAAACTCTGAAAGGAACTTTATTGAAGTGATATATAAACATTTTTGGTGCTCCTCCCATAAACATTCTTGTGAAACCTTATTTTAAAGGTAGGGAATTCAAGTTGAGTGAGTGGTCTGTTTTATTACAGTGGGTTGGAAATAGATTACTGATCATTCATAAAGAGAGATTAACACATAGATTGGATAAATCTGTTGGAATGAAGTGAGGTGGGGCAGGCAAGTGTAGGAGTAGAACAAGTGAGTAAAACGTTTTTAAAACATAAATTGTCTTCATAAGTGATTTCTTCAAAGAAGGGATTGTAGCCTTAGTATTATTATTATTATTTATATTTAAAGAACAAGTCTATTAGAAAAGAGAGAGGGAAGTAAAGGACTTTGCATAGGTAGAAGTGGACAGGAGAGATGCCCTGAAAGGGACAGGTTTGCTGAGAAGCTAGCATGTTCCCTGGCAGGCAGCCATGAGGCCAGGCCAGAGGCAGGTCAGTGCAGAGAGGTCCTGGCAGGTACAGGTCACTGGCAGTCAGGAGGCTGCTGCCCAACCAAGGGAGAGGGTGGGTATAAAGAAGCACCTGCATAGGCACAGGTGGGCAGGACTGCTCACCTTATTTTTTTTTAATAGAAATCTATTTTCTACAACTACCCTGGCAATTATATATAACTTTATTTATCACTCTGTGTTTTTATTGCCATATATAATATGTGTACAATTCTATGATTTAGCTATAACCTTAAGCAATGTCAAGGTAGTTGTCCCTTGATAAATGATGTCAGCATATTTTTGCATTTTTGTGACTGATTTTCAAGACAATCCTCCTATTAGCTTTCAGTTCTTCTTGTTACTGTATATGTCCTCAATTACTACCTCTTTCTGGCATGCAATTTTTAGTATACCAAAAGATATATTGATTACCCTATTAGAATTATGTGCAAACAAATAATCAATAGGTCTGAATGGAAACTTGAAAGACTAATTTCTAGAATAAAGTACACATAATTATTGTCTTGAATTTTCAGAAGCCTTTTCTTATGGCACATGATTGAAGTTTCTGGAAATCTGACATGTAAACTTGGGAGTTAGTATATTACCTTTCCAGAAGAAAGTCTTTTTATGGGTTATTTAAGTCTTTCTATGCCTGTTCTCAATACCAAGAATTACAATAGTAATATGCAAAACATACAGTTACAGTAGACATTAATATTCAAGATTTTACACCACATTGCTTTTTCAGGGCTGTTGATGTGTGGGCCATAGGCTGTCTGGTAACTGAAATGTTCATGGGGGAACCCCTCTTTCCTGGAGATTCTGATATTGATCAGCTATATCACATTATGATGTGTTTAGGTAAGATGGTACATCTGCATTTTAAATGTTTTCCCCTACAAACAACTTTTTCCGAGCTATAGACTGTTGATATATTAAGATGCTATGTATTTTAAGTGGCAATAGGGTGCAAATAGGAAAATCTTGCATATGAATATGTGTGTATGCATATCTATAGATGACATATTCTGTTAATACTGTTCACTCTTCTCTATGTCCCCACTTCCCCACAATAAGAAGAAAAGAGCAAGCGTTGTATATTTTTTCTGCACTTTTGCTTTCACTTAATCACAAATAGGCTGTAAATGATCACTTATTACCTTTGGTTTAGCCAGCTTTTAGTATACTCCTCCTCACCTTCACAGTAAGAGACAGATTTCCAAGATAGTTTGCTTGCCACAGATTTGACTTTTGTTGTTAGAACCATGGACAGAATTTTAAAGCTAACCTATCAGAGACTCCTTATATTTGTTGAAAAATAAGCTTTATGTTGGGAGGTGGAAGTTTGGAAAATGGACATAATGGAAAAATCACTGAGGATTTAACTATTAAATTAGAAACTCAGGTTTCTTACACAGATTTTTCATATATATATTTCATGCTATATTAGGCACTATAGTTGAGACAAGGATAAAGTGCTCAAATCAGACCTTATATACAAGCATCAAATTGGTTGATAAAAAATTAAATTCTTAGGGACCTCCCTGGTGGTGCAAGTGGTTAAATCTCAGTACTCAAGCTATCACTGGTCATTGTGGCACGAGTTAGATCCCCAGCCAGGGAACTAACCTCCATATAGTTAGGCAGACCAGACCTCTGCTGTCTTACCTGCTGCTCCCCTTAGCTGTGTATTTCAGTAGATCTGCTTATTTGCTCCCCACTCTGTCTTAGGTGAATATTCTCAACCCTTGCACCGCTGACCTACAACCCAGTTCTTATATGCATCATTAAATAAAAATAAATATTAAAAAAATTAAATTCTTAGAAGGGTATGATGGACCCCAGTGGTACAGTGGATTAAAGCACAGCCCTGCAAGCTAGCAGCTGTGGCAGACCTCTCCTGACCGGCCCGCTGCGCCCCTCAGCAGTGTATTTCGTCAGTCAGCCTGTTCTGCTCTCCACTGTGTCTCTGGTGAAGCCTCTCGTCTCCTGTACTCTGGCTGGCTGTACCCCAGTTCTTGAATGCATAAATAAATCTTTAACACACACACACAGTGCCATTGGCTGTGTTCCTTTCGTTTCTCTACTTATTATAATCTTTTTGCCATTTCTATCATGATGTGTAATGACAGATATGTATGCTGCTTGCACTTCCAGGTAATCTAATTCCAAGACATCAGGAATTGTTTTATAAAAATCCTGTGTTTGCTGGAGTAAGGTTGCCTGAAATCAAGGAAACGGAACCTCTTGAGAGACGCTATCCCAAGCTCTCTGAAGTTGCTGTAGATTTAGCAAAGGTAATTATCCATATTCTTTTTTCTTTCTGATAGGGAATTTATATTACGGAGTTGTTTTTCCCTATTTCCGCCTTATCTAGTTGCTCTCTGAGATTAACAGTTTGTGATGATTTTACTTTTTGTTTATTAAGCATTTAAATAACTTGACGAGGGAGGGGAGCCTCAGAACTAAAGACCTAAAATTTTTGTTTTAAGAAACCATGTAGTGTTATTTAACATATTCCAGATGTGAAAGTCTCTAATAAATATGTGTTTATAATATTCAACATTTAAAATGGAAGACCTGTGTAAGTGGGAAAGATAAGAAAAGTAAGACAAAAGTTAAAAAAGAAAGAAAAGTTAAAGTAGAGCACACAGGATCATGACCTTCATGTATTGTTAATAGAGCTTTGCTTAGTCACTGAATTTTCTAAAGTTAATTTACAAATGATCATTATCTCTGCCTAGTGTTTTTTTCTTTTTCATTTTTCTATATTTTTGAAGTGACATTATGCTATAATTTTATGTTTCAAGTGTACATCATTAAAAATCATTGTGAGTATATATTACATCACTGAATTTCACCACTGAAAGTTCAATTGACTTGTGTTTGACTGAGAGTAATAATGGGAAGACTCTTACTGGATCAAATTATCTTTAAAAATGGACCTTGCGGCCCTCCCTGGTGGCGCAGTGGGTTAAAGCACAGCACTAAGAAACTAAAGCCACTTCCGCATGAGTTTGATCCCCGCCTGCCCCGGAGGTGACCACATGGCGTGGCAGACCTCTCCTGACCCGCCCGCTGCTCCCCTCAGCAGTGTACTTCGTCGATCTGCCTGTGCTGCTCCCCGCTCTGTCTCTGGTGACTCCTCTCACCCTCCGCATTTCTGGCCTGTACCCCAGTTCTGTACGAATAAATAAATAAATCTTTAAAAAAAAAAATGGACCTTGCCTTCCCAATATAATTAGGGTTGTCTTAAAGAATGTATTAAGTAAGTATTAAATAAGGTGCAGGGGTGGTGAGAGGATTCACCAGAGACAGATCAGGGAGCAGAACAGGCAGGTTGAAGAAGTATATTGTTGAGGGGAGCAGTGGGCAAGACAGGAAAGGTCTGCAGCACCATGCGGGTCAGCTGCAGGCTGGGGATCAAACTTGCACCACCAGGGAGGGCCCTAACTAGGTATTTCTAAAACACAGGATCACATTATATTTATTTAAGTATTTATTTTGCTTTTTTAATTCTTCAAAAATCATTTTAAAATTTAGTAGACTTACAACTAATTGTAACAGTTCTCAGAATACATTCTACTTTCGTCATAATCTTCTAATAGAAACAAATATTACTTACTGACACAGCTTTATGATATGTCTGTAGAAAGATTTAAAGGGAATATATGTAAAACTATTGTCTACCTTATATCTCTTTTAATTGACTCATATAACTTAAAACAATTTATTATAGAAAATTTCAAACAGAATAGTAATATAAGGACTCCTAACATAGTCATCTAGCTTCAACAGTTAGCAACTTTTTGATCATTTTCTTTAATCTATTCACACCCTTCTCAATTTTTTGTTTTGGGAGGGGGGGGAAGACATTTTGAAACCAATCCTAGATATATTATTTCATTTATATTTATTTATTTATTCATATATTTATTTATTTATCATTTATGTATTATTTATTAATTGAACACATTTTCTTATTCATTAAAGATACATATCATATTACTTCTATTTTTACTGCCATTGATTATTCCAGTGAATGAGAACAAGATCTACATTACCATAAAATCATCTGTATAAAATATCTAGCACAATAATAAGCAAAGAATAGGTCTCGTCCCTTTCTACATAGATTTGAAATTTTAAAAATTCACAGTAATTCCTTAATACGACAAAACATCCGTGTCCAAAATTTCATTGATGTTTTTTCATATTTTCAAAGTTTGAGTTAGGGTCTACATTATTTCTATTGGTCTCAATTGGTTGATTTGTCTTTTTAAAGACTTTTAATTTGTAAACTTCTCCTGATCACTTTCCTTTTTGTTTAAACCTTGACATTTATTTGTTGAGAAAGTAGGTTGTTTGTCCCTTAGAATTTCCCATGTAATTTAATTTACTGTATTCCTCTATGTTCTATATTTTTATAAACTGATAGTATAACTAGTGCTTGATGAGAATCAGGTGTTTTTGTGGCAAGATTGCTTCATCAGAGGTTTCTGTATTTCTGTCTAGAACCCCTGAATATAACGGTCTTTCATTTTGTGATATTGAAAACCATTGGTGGTCATTGCCAGGGTTTTGCTTTATTCTTTGTCATTGAATATAGAAGTTTAGATTTCATTGACTAGATAGAGTTGTCTATATTTAGAAATGTAAATAGTTATTTTTGATATGGACTAATATATTCCTTGTTTTTCTAGAAATGCTTACATGTTGATCCTGACAAAAGGCCCTTCTGTGCTGAGCTCCTTCATCATGATTTCTTTCAGATGGATGGATTTGCTGAGAGGTATAATACTGACGCATGTTTTCTGGATCTTACCAACCCAGAGTTGGCATAAGGCCTCCATATCAGTAACAAACAATAGTTCTCTTATAGCTCTACTCACCTACTTTGCAGGACCTCAAATATCTACCAACTTACTTCCAGTTTACCCTCAGCAATAACATAATTTCTAGGAGTGATCCCTTGCCTTCTTCACTAAATTAGGGCTCTTGGTTTTCACAAAGCAGCCACTTCAGACTTTGTTTCTATCTCCCAGTGGTGACATCTGAATTTCAGGTCACTGATATCTATATTGCTACCCACAAATGATGCCATCATCTTGGGTGCTAATGCAGTTGCAAAGGTTCCAGCCCAGTGCCAAACTTACATCATATCCACTCCTCTGGTGCTGCTGACACTGCTGATGTGTTGGGTCCCTTGATATACCAAACCCACAGGAGCCAGAGCTGCTGGCATAGTCTCTTGTGCTATTCCAGCTGCTGGCATCAGTGCAACTAACTATAGTGAGATGCATGATAATGGCCATTGCTGTGTATTTTTTTACATATCTATTTAAAATCTAGCTAATAAAAGATAGCTGGCTTTTCATATTTGCATTCAGTTAGTTGGCTGCTTTGGCTGAAGGATATGAAGAAATTCTGGCCTCGCATAATGTATAGCTAGAAAATGGAAGCATTGAACATTTCACTTTAAAAAATATTTATTTATGCATACAGAACAAGGGCACAAGCTAGAGGTGCAGGGGTGGTGACAGGATTCCCCAGAGACAGAGTAGGGAGCAGAATAGGCAGACTGACAAACTACACTGCTGAGGGGAGCAGTGGGTGGGTCAGGAGAGGTCTATGTCACCATGTGGGTCACCTCTGGGGCTGGGATAGAACTCGCATTGAAATGGCTACAGCTAGCTTACAGTGCTGCGTCCTAACCTGTTGTGCCACCAGGGAGGGTGTTGAACATTCAATTTTTAAAACAAGTATCTTAAAAACATTTTTTCTAGATTTATTTGTCTTATACTATTTTATTGACAAATATATTTTTGTTAAGATTTTCTCAGGAGCTGCAATTAAAAGTACAGAAAGATAACAGAAATAGTTCTTTATCTAAAAAATCCCTAAACAGAAAGAAGGAAAAAGATGATGCCTTGGGTGAAGAGAGAAAAACACTTGTGGTACAGGTAAATGTCCAAGTTTTGATAAAGTATATTAAACTTTAATATATCTATTATTAAATTTTTGGAACAACCATTTTATAAAATTTTCTGAGTAATGAACATGTACACATAGCACTTTTCTCTAAATGAATGGAGAGAAATATATAATTTTAAGAATTTTATATAAAGTAGAGCACTGGGTGTTGGTTATTGAATTTATTTTAACTTTACTTTTCCTAGTATGCTATCCAAAACCTGTTTTTGATAAGTCAATTCAAATCTACCACCAACTTTTTCTCATTTTCTCAAATGAATCAAAAGAAAGAATTCTCTATTTTGTGTTCTATGTAAGAATAGAAATGGACACGTTTACTTCCCATTGAAATGTATATATTTGAAATTATATATCCAATGTCCATAAAAATGTACAGATATATCAGAACCAGTCTGACCAAGAGTCCCAAGATTAATTTCAATTCCCTAGGTAGAATAAAGGAAACAAGTGCATAAAAAAGGCGATATTTATGATTTATAGGAAAAGTGATTTCTCATTAGATCACTAATGTTATTACTATTTTTATTGGTGGTCAGGATACCAATGCTGATCCCAAAATTAAGGATCCTAAAGCCTTCAAAATAAAAGTGTCAAAAGGTGATGGAGAAAAAACGGAAAAAGTCAATAAAGCTTCCAAAGCCAGCTGTTCTCACGACAGTGGCACAAGCTGCACCCGAACAGTGCCTTCAGCAAGCCCCCGAGTCGCTGGCAGCGGCAGCGTGGACCACACCAAGAGTCCAGGCATGGCCATCCCCCCACTTTCGCACAGTTTTTCTGCTGTGGCTCCTGCTGTTAATTCTGGACTGGGGACCATCCCAGGAGTTCAGAGCTACAGGTATGAATTAGGAAAATAAGTACAAAATGTTATGTGAGGGTTTATTTGCAAATTGAGAAAGTGTAGATTCAGCTACATTGTGTTACTGCTCAGGCTTCGCTGCTGTTCATCTTGTCAGGTTGCTATTTCAAAAGACTTTTGGCCTATTTGCTTTTGATTAAGCAAATGTTCATTAGTTCTAAAAATGCAAAGTTGTATTGTTTCTCGTAAAAGGAAACTACAGCTGGTGAGTCTAATACATGGAAGGAATTTGTCCTAATCAGTTTTTGTTTATGAGGGTCTGCTGCTGTGGGGTGTGGCTGGAGTTACATAGTGGTACAAAGATGGTCCTTTGGGAATTTGGCTGAAAGGGAAGTAATTTGATGATAATTAGTGGCTGGGTGGGAGGCATGAAGCTAGGTGTAAAACGAAATATTTCACCAGATCTGTGAGCATTGTGTATTTTTTTGTCAATTCTGATTAAGTGGATGTCACTTGGTATTCTGTCTCTCAGTTTTGTACATGAAAAACTAAGTAATGCTGGTTCTAACATAAAGTTTTTGTTGTTACAGAGTGGATGAGAAAACCAAGAAGTATTGTATTCCATTTGTTAAACCAAATAAACATTCTCCATCAGGCATTTATAACTTTAATGTGACCACACCAGTAAGTGAATTATTCCTACTAGTAAAAGAGCAACTGCTCTTCTAGTCTTTTATTTATTATTATTTCTAGACGTTTATTAACATTAAGTATGGTAATGAAGGGCTGAGAATTTTACTTGGAGGCATATCATAAAGTACAGACTTAATTGCTCGTAATACCCATGTTTTAACCTTTTACTGCTTGCCAGGACTAACCGTGAAGGTTGGCAAAGGGAGGAGAAACTCATAGCAATCAAGTAATTCACTTCTTATCAATTTTAATACATTTAGTAAAAAGGTTTTTAAAAATGGATGAATTTTTATGTGTGTGTTATGGATATTCTTTAGATTTTTGTATTCAAGCTCTTGAAATCAAAAAATTTTAGGATATAAACATGTAGCTACAAAAGACAGTAAACCTAGCTTACCTGGAAGCTAATTGATTTGTATTAACCATTATGATGGTATTAGGTCACTAATGAGAAGAACCTACTGCAGGCAAATAAGAAACGAAGAGAATACTCAAAGACAGATGTCCATTTGCCTGAACTAAATTATAATAATCTCCCTGAATTAAGAGCCTTGGAAGGAGTAGGTATGTTTATAATGTTTTTATTTTTCAACCCTTTGTTAAGTTATTTAAAATGTATGTTAAATGTATGTTAAGTAATTAAGAATATTTAAAATAAAAATTCATAGTAATTTTACATATCTAATTGTGTAAATATATAAAATATGTACACACTGAGGGACAGATCATAGAATGTGAGAAACCAACAAAATGTCTAATTTTTTTCACTATGCTTATGGTTCCTTTTATCTAGCTCATAATTCCAGGCTAATGAGGAAAGACAACAAAAATATTTCAGAATCTCGAATTCCTTCTCTGGCTGCTATTGACCTTCATGCCCCCAATACTGCATTACATCAGGTACAGAAATACTCTTGGTGTTGATTCTACAGGTTGAATCAAATTTGGGCTCATATTTCCTGTTAAAGTATTTTAGGGTGTGCTTGCTTTTGTGGATTAGGCAGGTTTGTTGGTGGGATCTATCACATTTTGCTTAAATTTATGGTTCATTGCACTTAGTATCTTGATTTTATGTGTGTGTGTGTGTGTGTGTGTGTGTGTGTGTGTGTGTGTGTGTATAGCCCACCTATTGGTTTTGTAGGAATATAGATATTTTATGGTAGTTTATAGTCTTTTACTACATTAAATCCCAAACATATAACCTTTCTTTCAAAACTGAAACTGAATTTTTTTATTCTTTTAAATCTATTGTTGATTATAGATGATGAACACCTGAAATATATATATAATTCATAATAATATGTTACTGAAATAAACAATAAAGAAAAAATGTTTGATATCTTTCCCCCAAGACAAGCTACTCTATTCATATTAAAGATTTGCTTTTCTGTACAGTCATTTTTATTTTGTAATTTCTTTTTACCTTTGAAAATATTTATTTCTACTACTTTTAGATCAACAACTATGTTAAGAAAGTTATTGGTTGCTTTAAAAATAATTGCATTAATAACAATTAAACTAAACTCTTAAATTTCCTGAGCCAACTACAACTAGCTGCACACTTTTGATATGTATCCCTATACTTTCCTTTACTTGTTTTTTTCTTGTTTCTTTTATATTTTTTATTATTTTTACATCATTCTTCATTTTGTGCATTTTCCCATCTCAGTTGTAACCCCCATGTCCCTTTACTTGTTCAAACAGATTTTTCACATTTGCTTGAAACTAGGTAACTTTTTCTTTTAAATTTATTTCTTCATCATCATTATTAAAGCATTTCTGTTTCATAGATGGCATTTTTATGTTACCTCCTTATCCATTTAGAGCCATTACCTATTCTTAATGCATTAAATAATAATATTGTAGATAACAAATTACAGAGACAGTAACAGTGATACTGAGGAAAAGATTGACTGCTGTTGCTTTGCCTTTTCTCTAGTCAAAAATTATCTCAGCTAGCAACATGATCAAAATTAAACAAGTTATTGTGCTAAGATTAATCACTATCACAAATTTTATATTTAGGAACATTGTTCTCAATAAATTCTTTGTATATTAATTTACTGTGGATTTTGAAGTAATTATTTACTCTTTTTGATTATGCTATTATTAAAAGCAGTTTTCATTTCATGCAATGGAAGACTGGCTTTCTGTACACTTTTAAATAATTTTACTTGGTGTTTTGAAATAATTTTTTCAAAGATTTATTTATTCATGTGCACAAGAGCTGGGGTGCAGGCCAGAGATGTGTAGATTGAGAGGATTCACCAGAGACACAGAGGGGAACAGAGCAGACAGATTGAGTGAAATACACGGTTGAGGAAAATAGTGGACAAGATAGGAAAGGTCTGCTGTGCCATGTGGGTCACCTCTCTAGCTGGGGATCGAACTCGTGAGGTGCTACAGTGGCTGCAGATTGCTCCATAGTGCTGTGTCTTAACCCCTTGCACCACCAAGGTGGCCCTGAAATAATCTCATTATATTTATTAATCAGTTATGCATTTTTTCTCTCAGTTTAATTATTAAGTTTCTAGCTGTATTTAAAATACAATAAAGAAAGAGATTAGGTGTTAGCAAAAGCTTCTGATGTCTGTGATTTTGGGTGGGAAATTCTCCAGCATTTGAATTATTGTTTCTCTGAATATAATATTTTGTTTTTCTCTAACTGCTTCAAGAGTTAATCTTTGTCTTATATTAATTTGTTTGAATATGATGTGTCTAGCATAAGTTTCTTTGAGCATATCAACTTTGGGGATGCTGAACTTCTTGAAACTATAGATGTTTACCCTTTTTGTCAAATTTGGGACATTTTAATCATCATTTCTTCAAATACTATTTGCATAGTCTCTAGGTTTTTTTCTGAGACACCAATGACATAAGTTTGACTTTTTGACATTTTTGCATAGGTTCCTAAAACTCTGTAGGCTTTTTCCAATCTTTTTGTTTCTGTGCTTTAGACTGGGTAATTTCTATTGATCTACTTTCAAGTTCTTTGACTCTTTACTTTGTGATTTCTATTCTGCTATTAAGCTCATCTAGTGAGGTTTTCAAAATTTCAGATGCTGTACATTTTAGTCCTAAAATAACAAGTTGGTGCTTTTAGAGCTTCTATTTCTTTGCTGAGGATTCTTTTCCACTCATAATTTCAAGTATGTTTTCCATTACCTCATATAACATAGTTAAAATGAGTGCTTTAAAATCTTTGTGTGTTATATGTAGTATATAAACAAATAACATTATGTATTTAAAATTCCAACATCTGGACCATCAGTCTGGAGAACTGATATCAATTCCCTTGAGAATTAATCTAACTTCCCTGGATCTTTATTTGTCTAGTAATTTTAAATCATATTTTGGACAGTGTGAATGTTACATTGTATAGCCTCTGGGTCTACTTTTTTTTTTTTTTTATGAAGATTTGTTTATTTGTGCATACAGAACTGGTACAGACCAGAGGCTCAGAGGTGGTGAGAGGCTTCAGCAGAGACAGAGTGGGGAACAGAACAGGCAGATAGATGAAGTACACTGCTGAGGGGAGCAGCGGGTGGGTCAGGAGAGATCTGCCACACCATGTGGTCACCTCCAGGGCAAGCAGGAATCGAACTCATGCGGAAGCGGCCTTAGATTCTCAGTGCTGTGCTTTAACCCGCTGTGCCACCAGGGAGAGCCCCTGGGTCTACTTTTTAATCCTCTGGATCTAAAGAGGATCAGAGATTTTTGTATTAGTAGTATGTCATCCAAGTTTTGATTACACTCTAAGTTCTACTTTACCTTCTGTAAGAGGTGAAATCTTTGTAATTCTCTTTGCTTTTTTCTGTGTTTGTATAGTTCAGGGGATAGTTGTAGACTTGTGTAGGTGATTTCAATTTCAGTTCAGTTCTCTGAGCCTTTACTATGTTGGGTTAGATCTTCCCCATGCATGCATACTTCAGGAATTAGGATTGATATCAATTAATTAATCCTAAATTCTAGAATTACTATTAATTGACTTCTGTGGGTTTATATACAGAATTAGAGGGTCTTTTTCTAGATCTCTCTCCCCTAGAATTGCTCCTATATGTTTTGGCCTACAGGGATCCCTTTTCCTGGTTTGTCTGGCCATAAAGATAAGGTTTCTTTCAAACTTTTAGGCTCTTGCTCTTCCTCACTACTCTGAGATTCTGTACTAACCTTTGGACAAAGCCGTGGGATTTAAGAATAAACAATATTGAAACCTTCCTTTACCTGAGAGGTCATGTCTCCAAATTTTAACTCTACTCCTCAATCCTTAGCTGTTTTTTTTTTCCTCAAAAGGTTTTTTGTTTGTTTGATAATAAATAAGGCAGATTTGGTATAGTGTGCTTACTGGCATTTCACTATTATCTTTTAACATACATAGAAACAAAGAAGTAAAAAAATATCCTCTTCTATGAGAATAACTTGAACTATAGGTCTTTTATTTTGAATGTCTGATATTTGAATGACCAGAATTGGAATTTTTGGGAAGTGTGATCTGAACAATTACTGAGAATCCATAATACCCAATTATTAATTTATAGGCATCAGGATCCCCTCTGTCAGAAGTTTTGGAAGCTGATCTGCCCCGAGTGGAACACCAGCACTGAGTGTCATTTGGCTCTAAAATTGGTAGGTTTGATTTCTTATACTTAAAGCTGTGAAACCTTTCATGGGATAGATTTTTGAAGCTTGAGTTCTTCAGATGAATTATTTTCCAGTGATTGATTTCTTGAGAACTGATAGTCATAGAGTTGTAACACTTAAAAAAAAAGCCGAGGCTGTGTTTTTCTCTGGGATGCAATCCCTTTTCATAAAATTTATATCTCTTGGGCTTAAATTAGTCTCCTGTATGTTATTGGTTATGGTAATGTAAATTCAGGGTGATAAGAATCCAGAAAGAAGTATAATTATCTCCCTTATCATTCACTTTTATCCTGTGGACTTATATAGAAGAAAAATATAATGTTTTCTTGGTTATCATTTTTCCAAAAAAAGGAGTCAGCACTATTCTAAATATAACAGTACAAAAAATACCCACATCAGACAGTTTTAGTGATAGTTTGCAGTTTCAGTTACTTATAGTCAACCTCAGCCTGAAAATGTTATGTATATAGTAAGATATTTTGGTGTCCACATTCACCTAACTCCTATAACAATGTATCATTTTGATGGTTATATTTTATTAGTTATTGTTACTAATCTTATTGTGACAAATTTCTAAATTAAATATCATAGCTGTGTATGATACATGTATATACAGTATATGTATCATACAGATATTTGGGTACTATCTGTAATTTCAGGCATCCACTGGAGGTCTTGGAATTTATTAGAATGTATTCTTTGTGCCTAAGGGGGTATGATTGTATCTATACAAGAAAGCAAGTGTGATAGAGGTCAAGTCCTAGACATATTTTATGTAAAATATTTGATGGCATATACTTTCCCTGTGCTTTTAGATGCTGTTCTCCACTTGAGGGGACATCCTTCTGAAACAAAAGTGCTGATATCCTAGAGGGGGAGATTTGTGGGGTTTGATTGTTTACTTCCTAACTGCCCGCATTTTCTGAGAAAGGCCTTGCAGAAGAAAGAAAGACTTCCATATGTTTCAAAGGAGTAATGAGCAAAGTGCCCCTCCTCAACTGTTATCCTAACACCTTTCAAGTCCAATGATGCATTTCAAGATAAATTCAAAGAAAGAATAGTGATGTGGTTCTTGTTACATGAATGTGTATTTATTATTTGTAGCCTGTGTATTTAAAGCTATTTAAGATCACAAGTGAGTAAAAAAAGGAGAGAGAGAGAAACATTGTATAAAGGTATGTTATTCATGCATTGACCTTTATTATCTGTGTAAATGTGTATGTTTATTTAGGAGTGGGTTTGGTGGAGATAAGTGGCAAAAATGAGAATCAGTTGAATAAAATGAAAAAAACAAGGATCATAAAAAAATGTTCCTTTACCCTACTTAATGTTCCTTTACCTTACTTAACTGTAAATCTTGCTTGTTTCTAGACTTTAAGGAGATCTGTAACTGCACTCAGTGGATAGATGTGTGTCCTTGGTTTCTGTGATTGTTGTTCATGTTTGATCAGTGTACAATGGGAATCTGGCATCTCTGCTGCAAATTTGGCAACAAAAGCTTTTGTTTCTGTTGACCTTATACAACTCTATCACTGGATAATCCTCTATATTATACAATTCTGGTGCTGCTATTCCTATATGAAAGGATGTGATGAGTGAGAGTGGTGAAGAGGACCTTAATCGGTATCTTAGAGTCAAATACTTCTTGTTGAAGTTGTGTTAACTACTGAAAAAGGGGGTATCTGCACAAAATTAAGAGATGGGATGCACGATTACCAGTGGAATAGGACTGATTACTTTTCTCTGGGCAACAAGCTAGGGAACTTCCCAGCTAAAGAGGCTTTGCGGAGGACACTTCCACTATCAAGGGCTTTACATCTGTCCACAATTAGTTTGAGGGTGATATTAGAACCCAGAGGTGTCCTTCCCAAAATCTTTTTACCAAGGTGCAAATAATTTACCCTGCAGTCCATATATCTTTTCTAATGTCCTGATCTACAACTTTTAGGTGGGAGAGTTAAACCAATTTAGTGTTTGGTTACTGGGTTTCCAGTTATTTTCTGCATTTATCATTTTAAACAATGGTTGTTAAGAGAATTAGACTAGGTATAGGTTTTCTTGTTGTAACCAGTTAACAGTGTGTTCTCCTTTCCAAAAGTCATTGCTTAGCGTTTAGCCCAGCAATTTAACTAGCACTTTTTGTTGTTGTTGTTACACTGAGGAGCTAACCACTGAAATTGTAACCTTAGACACTTGGACTTCAAAAAGAGTGGAACATTTGGGAAGAGGCAAAATAAGGAGTTCGAATCTAGAAGTCTAAAAGTGGCTCAATTAAAATATGGTCTTGATTTTGAAGCTCTGTCTTTAACTTCCGACCAGATACCTGACTAGCTTGGTATGGCTAATATCCTCAAAAAGCTAGTATCGAGGCATTAATAGGATTCTATTGGCAGACTACAGCATGGAAAACAACAGACAATACTTACAAGCAAAGAAGCTTCCCAGTTTATTTCAAAAAGTTGTTTTTGTTTGTTAAAGTTCAGTGTGAAAATATCACTTCAATGTCTGAGGATCTAAGATCAGTTACCTTGTCATTTCTCTATTTACTTTTAGTATTTTTTGCCTTTTAAAACTTTTGTGAAACTTAGAATTAAAGAACTAAAAATCATTTACTCTAAGTTCAAGTTGAAACTCTAGGATCATATTTGGTTAGAATCTTGACATAACTACTTAAAAAGAAATTTTTTGTAAATTGGAGCTATATATACTGAACCACAATAATCCTTTTTTCAGTTTAAGGTTATTTTATCTCTCCATACAAGGATATGATTAAACCACATCCCAGTAAGAAATATGTACCAGTGGGGGAAATGGACTTGTTGTGTGTATGTGTGTTTTAAAATGAATAAATATTATACCTCACTGAGCTCCATAGATGGTTTTTCTTTGAATTTATTTAATTTACAGAGTATATGTAATATAATAACATTGTGTGCTACTTAACAAATAGGTGCTTTAAATAAGTTTCAAATAATTTGAGTCAACATTAATATTCAGAACCCTATTTATTTACTTAATCATTTAAATATTTTATTTATGCATACAGACATGCGGTACAAGCTAGAGGTGCAAGGGCGGTGAGACCATTCACCAGAGACAGTGGGGAGCAGAACAGGCAGATCAACGAAGTACACTGCTAAGAGGAGTGACAGGGGAGAGGTGTGCTGTGCCATGTGGGTCACCTTCCTGGCAGGGGATGGAACTCCTGCTGCAATGGCTAAGAACAGCTTTATAGTGCTGCACTTTAACTGCTGTGCCACCTTTGAGAGCCCGGAACCACTCATTTACAATGTCTCTACACTCTCTTAAAATTTCACAACTGACACAATTTT